AATTAATGTAAAATAATTAGTTGCTAAATGTAGGATTAACTTGAGTATTATTCTAAGTTCTGTTCTTGATTCATTTGAACCTTTTTTTATCTCCGATAAATACAAAGACAATACATGGTTTCTCTTTGCAAGTGACTGGCGATCACACAGTGTTACTACTAATAGAATAAAATAAAATAGAAGGCGTCTATTGATTGGACAATAAAAAAATAATTACGGGCTTTCAAAGTAGAATTTTTATGATTGGTTAATTTAGATGAAAACCAAAGTAGATATTTTCCCTGGAAGTCAAAAACGTGTTTTGTATGGGCTGTATCTGACATGATTTAGTAATAAAAGCGGAGTTGATCATTAATAATACAATTAGTTTTATTTTGAAAGCAGACGATTTCTCTACAAATCAACCAAGAACAAAGAAGGGAGATAATTCTAATTTTACTATATATCACGTGCCATTGTGATTGTTCACAAAGTGCGTGACCTATTTTAGTTTCAACTAGTAATAACAACAAAAACAACGAAAATATTAAAATAATGTATTTAATCTTAAAGTTTAGTTTTTTACAATAATATATATTTAAAATGTGGCAGTTTGTAAGCAGAGGAGGAAAATAGTTGTGTTGACGTTGTGTATTCATTCATTCGTCTGCTAATGCCAGACTACGGCAAGTTCAGTCATGTGAAAGTGACCGTAACTTGCCGTCAGAAGGTAAATATACCGATAATCGATATTTGAATTTCAATATCGATTATCGTATCGCTAAATAACTTCTACCGATTATCGATTATATCGATATTTTTGCACAGCCTTAGTTACGGATTTAGCTACTTTAAACTCCATTTCATTTCATCCCTTTATAATCATCAATCAGATGGCAAGAGAAGAAAAAGATAAGACCATGGTTGTGTTCGTCTTTAATACATGTTTAGTCACTCTGACCGTTGTTCATGAAATGTTGATCCGATTCTATGATTAACCGTTTAACATTACAGCTCTCTATCGAAAGACCAGAGAAAATGTCAATGGACATCCTCTTATGGTATTAGACAAATTTATCTTGCCTAAAGGTGACTGAGGAAAGCAAAAATAAAATCATACACCATTTCTGATAGCAGTCCTGATAAATTACTAAATAATTAAATATTCATTTTGTGAACTAGCCAAACTTTTGACTCTTTGGATTTAAATAATGTACCATGCACATACATTTTTGGGTAAAAAAAAATAAAAGAAAAAGCTTTTATGGCAAGTTTGTGTTAAGATTACAAAACATCCCAATATACACATACATGATACTACAGTAGTAGTCACACATGTACTACTGGTTTGTTTAATGAGGGGAGGTTGGATGGCCTACTCTAATATCGAATTCCAACTGCCGAGGGATCTTTTACGTGCAATCCAATGTACATGTATACACGGGACCTCCGAACCACTGGACAGCTGTCCTTGTCAGACGCTCCGTCATGCACCACTCACAAAGGGAAACCACGTTGGAAAATCCCAATGAACTTTCTCAGCCAATGCTACCTCCAGGCAAGCGAGCCAGCGTCTTATCCACTTAGCCACCATGGCTCCGAATATAAAAACAGGCGGATATGATCTGCCCGATTGGTATTTAAATTTATTACAGACCTATAGACCCTACCCTATTTTTCCTTTGCTACAAGAAACAGAGCCCATTCTTTGCCCTATGTACATTTGGGTACTTTAATTATTTTTCAGTCACTTTACAAGTTTCAGTTCCTAATATTTGGGCATTTTAGTTCTTAACCTTTAGGTTTGGGTGTTTTGACTACTAACGTTAAAGTTTGGGTTGTTTGATTCCTAAACATTAGATTTGGGTGTTTTGGTTCTAAAACTTTGGACTTGTGTGTTTTGGTTCCTAATTGTTAGGTTTGGGTGTTTTGTGTTCTAATCTTTAGGTATGGCGGTTTTGATTTCTTATCTGTAGGTTTGGGTACTTTAGTTCCTTTATCTTCAGGTTTTAGTATTTTAGTTCCTAATATTTTGGTTTGGGAGTTACATTTCCTAAGTTTGTAAAGAGTTGATATGTTAGGTTTCCTTAAGGCTTAGGTGTTTTGGTTACGAATATAAAATCTTGGTAGGTCTGATTCCTAATATTTTGGTTTGGGAGTTACCTTTCCTTAGTTTTTAAAGAGTTGATATGTTAGGTTTCCTTAAGGCTTAGGTGTTTTGGTTACGAATATAAAATCTTGGTAGGTCTGATTCCTAATATTTTGGTTTGGGAGTTACCTTTCCTTAGTTTTTAAAGAGTTGATATGTTAGGTTTCCTTAAGGCTTAGGTGTTTTGGTTACGAATATAAAATCTTGGTAGGTCTGATTCCTAATATTTTGGTTTGGGAGTTACATTTCCTAAGTTTGTAAAGAGTTGATATGTTAGGTTTTCGTGTCCTTAAGGCTTAGGTGTTTTGGTTACGAATATAAAATCTTGGTAGGTCTGATTCCTAATATTTAGTTTTAGGGGTTTTTTGTTTTCTAATCTTTAGAAATAACGAACATGTATATACGTGCATTAGCATCTAAATAAAAATAGGGAGAGAGAGGGAAATGGGGTTCAACGTCCACTCGACAAAAAATAGGTCATTTCGGGACTAACATATGGTTTAATTTTATTTCAATAATTAGCTTGTACGTAGGGGTCTTTAGCAATGGGAGGAAACCGGAGGACCCGGAGAAAACCTAGGAGGTTGGACAGGCGACCCTACTCCTTGTCATGTACAACCAGGGAACTGAAAACATGCCAGTTGACTCAATGACAGACCTTATGATACAGCGCACACGTGCTAATCATCCGGCCATCCTACTCCCCCAAATAAAAATAACTATTACATACATGACATGTATCTATGTCAATTGTGGGTGTACATAAATTTTGTATTGTAGAGTTAACCTATTTTACAACACCTGGGCGGTAGATCAATCATTTTCTTTCTTAACTAAAGGTGTGTACATGTATATTAACATAATTGTCAATTCAGCACTTCAGTACAGTTAGATTTTTTAAATATACAGCCCCAACAGCTGAATGATAGAACATACATGCAAGTCAAATAAACACAGTTACGACACTTAAAGATACATTATGGGAGATTAGATAATGAGTTGGCAGTTCGCATGATAATAGTTAAAAAACTAGATGATGTAAAGGCAATTTGCTGAAAATTTCAGTCAAATTGATCCACTATGAACCGAGAATTAAGCGATTGAAATTTCCACCTAGCCTCGATCATCATTACTAAAGTCGTTACGATAAAAAGCAGAGTCTTGATTTTCCATGTTTAATAATTAAATTGTGATGGAAAGTTATGCAGTAAATCTGAACATAATCCACTAAAGATCACAGGCTAGCGATGCCATCGAGGGTTGATTATGGTCTGGATCAGTTAATTAATGTCTAATTAATAATTTAGATAACATTTCAGGCATAAAGAAAGATCTGCAATCGGCAGATTTAGCTCTTGCATAATGTATGTTTAAAGTAGCTAAGTCTCCAACTCAATATCATTCAAAGTCTTTGATATATAAAACACAAATTATTTGTTAATTTAAAGTTACAATTTCATATTTTTAAGTTATATTTTTAAAATTTTATTAAAATAAATCCTTAAAATAGATGTTATCTATAAACAGCCCTACCTTGTTAAAGAATAATCCTATTAATCCTATAATTCATCATTTTCAACTTCAAATTCAAACGTTTGAAGATAGCTATTCCATGGGGGGGGGGGGGGAATTAGGAAAACAAGGGAGGTAATTGTGTTATTATTTCCCGTGTCAATGATATTTAAGTATGGGAATTAATGCCTATGATCGTATAATAGTGATTTGATAACCTATTGAGCAAAATACATAGAAATAATTATGTTTTGACTTTCTTAGAAAATATGAAATTCTCGCTTTAAATCAACATTGATGTTGTGATGGTTTTGCAAAATACTAATAACTACTAATACACTAATAACTCTTTTATCATCAATGACGTCAAAATATGTTTGCTCAAGTTTCATTTTATTAGTTTAGAGTTCATACAAATAGAGGCTATACAAACTAGGATAACTTCAACCGATAAAAAACATTTGAAGTGTTGTCATGTAACGGAAACTGATGTATAATAGACAAGGAAAGTAAATTTTGTATGTCAGATTAATCTGATCCAATACTCAGGTCAATTAGCAGAATTTATAAATAGGTCATACTTGTTTACTTCACATATTACCATCATAATACTCCTCAAGGTTGTTATATGCAGTTATCAAAACCAGAGCAATTAATCCACCTAGATAATTTCACAGCGAATGTGAGTCTTCTAGAAAATCACAGGCAAAATGATATTAAGGTCATGTCTAGGAAATTAAAATTTTAGGATACAGTTAATTAATTTGTTTAAGACAACAGTCAAATTTGATTACTTAACCTCATTTTATTTTTGTTGTCATTCATTTCTGAAGACTGATATATTCTTAATAAATCCAATTGTTTTATATTTTGAAATTGGATAAACACTATTGAACATATAATCTAAAAATAAAATTTGAAAACGTGAGCATATTGTCACTAACAGATGCATTTTGCAGCATATGCAAGTTCAATTCTGAAGAATAAAAATAAGTTCATGTAAAGAATATTCCATAGGTTTTCACTTCTTCTGGGGTAGCTTTCTCGAGTTTGACAACGTTTCAGAACCTAAAACGATATAAAACAATCAAATAAAGGGAAAAATTGAAATAATTTATCATTACCTTCATCGATAACCCTTTCAAAGAAATAAATTTGGCAATATTTTCTGGCTCAGCTGTGAATGTACTTTCTGGTTCGTGAAAATGGCTGATCTAATGTGAAGGCTTGTAACAAAATACTTCGGGAAAATGCACGAGCGAAATCTATCGAATGCGTTGATTGGTTGACTTGTTTATACAAAGCTAGTTTATTTAGGCCAGTGCTATGAAAATAATCGGAAATGAGAAACTATTTTAAACAAACAATCTTCATAACAGTGTAAATGACTAATGAGTATTACTATGCTAACGGCTAATGAGTAATCAACGGAATATGGTTTACGAAAATAAAATATAAATCCGAAATTTCCAAAATGGCTGCCCTTATGCTGCAGAAGGGTTTGTGTTTTATTTCTGTTTTTCTTCGAAGAAAAGTAACATACGGACATTACAATGATCTTATTGCAGAGATCGATCTTTAGAAACGATCAATTATTTCACCTTACAAAAACCAATTCATTGTCACGCATCATTTCGTATCGAATGAATCATGAAAATATCTGTCAAGCAACTCATATCGGGCCGGCTCCTCTCTGGAATGTAGGCCTATACAAACAACAAATTGATTAGTGAAATGTCCCACTGTGTCATGGCAAAATCACACCCCAGCCACACTCACCAATCCACTAACATTGCAGTGTAACCTAAGAAATGAATATTAAAGGAGCTAAATCGCTAATATTTGGGACCTACAAATTGACACAAATGGGTCGCAACGTATATAATAATAATGTGATATGAATGTAAATAAACTGATTTACATACAATCATTTCCGTTTTTACTCTAATTTCAAAGCAGTTATGTTCGACAAAATACGCCAGAAGTGTCAGTCTCTAGCGTCTGGTTATTCCAGTCTACACCGATAGTATTTATTGCGCATGCTCTCCAGATAAGAATATGGGGTCACCGTTTGACAGGACTTGTGGAATGTGTAGAACATTGTTCTTCAAGTCGCTTGATGTTGTGAGTTTCCAATTGGTACACGAAACGTGTACCATAATTAGGGTGACCCGTGCACTCTACAGAAAGTTGGTCTCGACACGGCTAAATGTGCACGCTACAGTTGCGTGTCTCGAACTGATTTCTGAATACCCTGCACTCTCTTTGAGTCGATTAATAGCCATGGCACGTGCAATTCTCTACAAATATATCAACTATTACAGCCGTAAAAAATCTATTGTTGACGATTTTGAATAGCAGTAAAATTTAGCTTCTTGGTTATTACAGCAGCTTTAGAAATTACGTTTGTTTTAATTTTTAAATTGCTTTATCATTAACTGTACCGTTAAGAGCGGCATCTTTTGGTTTAGTACAAATATTATCTCTGAATCACTTTTTTTAGCAGGAACATGATACTAACAGTAGTTTCATTTTACTTTTACAAGTTTCTTAAAACAATTGTTGAGTTGGCTAAAGTGCTTATTTCTAAATTCAATTTCTTGTTCTAGCTTTCTGTTATGTTTCGTAAAAAAGTAGTCTTTATTATCCCGACCTGTCAATCAGACGTAGAATGGTCGATAGACTGGTTAATCGAGACTAATTTCAAAACAAGGGCATGTAACCTATCTTTTACTCAAAAGTGTCTGGATGTTATGGACGACACTTGGAACCAGTTTTCAGTCTATTATTTATAGATGATTAATGGTCATAGCTTATTAAGTACATGATCGTTTATTTAGTGACTATAATTGTGTGAAACTGATTTGAGGCTTGGCATATATATAAATATTGTGGCGTAATTGTCGAGATATTTGGAGATATTTATTTAGGGTGGGTCACCCTACCATAATGCATTTCAGCTCAATTTGTAACAAGGGAGGGGGTGGGGTTGGCCGAATGGTTAGCATGTGCGTGTTGTATCATAAAGTCTGTCATTGAGTCAAGTGGGCCATGGTTTCGATTCCCTGGTCGTACGTGACAAGGAGTAGGGTGGCCTGTCTAACCTCGTGGGTTTTCTCCAGGTCCCCCGGTTTCCTCCCACTGCTAAAGACCCTGTACGCCCAAGCGAATTATTGGAATAAAATTGAATCATATGCTAGTCCCGAAATGACCTGGTTTGTGCCGAGTGGACGTTAAACCATTTCTCTCTCTCTCTCTCTCTTTCTCTCTCTCTCTCTCTTTCTCTCTCTCTCTCAAATATTAGCGATTTAGCTCCTTTAACATTAGTCTGAAAATGACATACATAAATCAGACTTTTTGATTTACTCCCAAACTGAGCAATAAATGATTCTATAACTCTTTAGGCCTGAAATGTTTTCTAAATTAATAATTAGACATTAATTAACAGATCCAAGCCATAATCAACTCTCGATGGATTTCTGCGATATTAAATAGATTAGAACAGTTCACCCATATTTTGATTTAAGCTAAAAATAGAGGAGCGAGACTTAGCTTTGAACAACCAGTACCTTATTTGAAATTATTGCACACATCTTGTCAAATATCCAAAGGCTAATATCTTCGCTTGCAATAGAGTAATGTGATTGAAATTTTCAAATTATTCATTATACATTATCTATTTTTATGCGCCCACATGGAAATGTGGTCGTATATTGCCGTCACCCCCGTCCGTCCATCCGTCCATCGTCCACAATTTCTTGTGAACACTCTACAGGCTACATTTATCATCTGATTGTTTTGAAATTGATATATGTTGTTTGCATTAGTGAGATGAAGAAGCCTATTTTATTTCAATAACTTCCGTTAATTTCTTCTGGAGTTATGGCCCTTGTTTCACTTTGTTGCACCTTGTGAATGCTCTAACGACAAAAGTTATCAACCGATCTGTATGAAATTTATATGCATCATTTAAATTAGTAAAACGAAGAAGCCTATTGAATTTCAGCAATTTTCGTTAAATACATCTAGAGTTATGGCCCTTGTTTCACTTTGTTGAACCTTGTGAACGTTCTAATGACAACAGTTATCATCCGATCTGTTTGAAATTGATATGCATCATTTAAATTAGTGAAATGATGAAGCCCATTGAATTTCAGCAATTTCCATTTATTACGCTGTGAGTTATGGCCCTTGTTTCACTTTGTTGTACCTTGTGAATGCTCTAACGACAAAAGTCATTATCCGATCTGTGTGAAATTTATATGCATCATTTAAATTAGTAAAACGAAGAAGTCTATTTAATTTCAATAATTTCCTTTAATTACGTCTAGAGTTATGGCCCTTGTTTCACTTTGTTGAATCTTGTGAACGCTCTAATGACAACAGTTATCATCCGATCTGTTTGAAATTAATATGCATCATTTAAATTAGTGAAATGAAGAATCCTATTGAATTTCAGCAATTTCCGTTAATTACGCAGTCAGTTATGGCCCTTGTTTCACTTTGTTGTACCTTGTGAATGCTCTAACGACAAAAGTTATTATCCGATCTGTATGAAATTTATATGCATCATTTAAATTAGTAAAACAAAGAAGCCTATTGAATTTCAGCAATTTCCGTTAATTACATCTAGAGTTATGGCCCTTGTTTCACTTTGTTGAATCTTGTAAACGCTCTAATGACAACAGTTATCATCCGATCTGTTTGAAATGGATATCTGGCATTTAAATTAGTACAATGAAGAAGCCTATCAAATTTCTGCAATTTCCGTTGATTACGCTGTGAGTTATGGCCCTTGTTTCACTTTGTTGTACCTTGTGAATGCTCTAACGACAAAAATTATTATCCGATCTGTATGAAATTTATATGTATTGTTTAAATTAGTAAAAGTTTCAGCAAATTTCTGTTAATTACATCTAGAATTATGGCCCTTGTTTAACTTTGTTGAATCTTGAGAACGCTTGAACAACAAAAGTTATCACCTAATCTGTATGAAATTCATATGCATCATTTGAATTAGTAAAATGAAAAAGCCTATTGAATGTCAGCAATTTCCGTCAATTACTTTTAGAGTTATGGCCCTTGTTTTACTTTGTTGCACCTTGTGAACGTTCGAACGACAAAAGTTATCATCCGATCTGTATGAAATTTATATGCATTATTTGAATTAGTAAAACGAAAAAGCCTGTTGAATTTCGACAATTTCTGTAGAGTACTTCCAGAGTTACATCCCTTGTTTTTGTTTTTAGAACCTTGTGAACCCTCAAACGACGAAAATTATAATGTTATCTGTATGATATTGTCTATTAAATTCCCCTAATCACCTACAAAAGAATAATTATGTGACAACCCTTGTCAACTGCTCGGACGATTTAGCTGCTGTGGGCGTATGTTTTGTTGCCTGGCAACCTATCTTTGAACTATTAAAGCAAGAATGGTTAGTTCTTTATCTAAATCTTATATAATGTATCTTTAAGCATGAATGTAAACAAACCAGTAATGTAATGGATTGAATCAATAGTCCGGTCCATCTCAAAGATAAAAGTTTTAACTATTAAAAAATGATTTCATGTATTTTTCAGCCATTCGACAGTGCATGAGAGTCAGATCGTTAGAATTGATTTCTCCGGTTACTTGTCAACAAATTCGATTCAAATCTGGGAAACAAAGACTCAAGGCTCCAAGTCATGCTCAGAGTAAAGATAAATATGTTCGAAGGCAGAAAAAAGGGTAGGTAACTCTGAAAAGTATCAATACAAGTACATGTATTTATATACATTTAATTTAATGCATACCATGTTCCCCAAGCTATCCAAACATACAAATAGAGGGGTTGGATAGCCGAATGGTTAGTACTTGCGCGCTGTATCATAAGGTCTGTCAATGAGACAACTGGCGTGGTTTCGATTCCCGGTTTATATGTGACAAGGAGTAGGGGGCGCCTGTCTAACCTTGTGGGTTTTCTCTTGGTCGTCTGGTTTCCTCCCTCAGCTAAAGACCCCTCCGCGCAAGCAAATTATTGAAATAAAATTGGACCATATGTTAGTCCCGAAACGTTAAACCCCATTTCTCTCTCTCAAACATACAAATAAGTTACACCTCCTTAAATTCTTTGTGATCCCTTTTATCCAGAATGTGGTTAAACGGGTTTGCTGTTTTCTAATTATTGCCAAAAATGGATAAATAATTTATTTAGAAAATATTGCTGTTATCTAGGATTAATGATCATTTTGTATCCAAGGCATGCTTTCTATGTGTGGCCAAAACAGCTGATATCCCTAACCAGTAATACCATATGGGAGAAACTATTATCAACGAAAACATTATAAATCCTGTTGAGACAGGTGGGATACTTTAGGGGTATTCTCAGGTCATGATAAATAGTTTCTGATATAACTGGACAGTGACATGGGGAGTGTTTAGAATAGATTGTACGAAAAATTTGAGACATGAATGTTTTCATTATCAATTTGGGCGTTGTAGAATATTGTATTCGCCCACATAATAATGTTATTGTATATTGCTGCTGTCTGTATCCGCTGGTCCATTTGAGAAATGAAATGAAATGAAATGGGGTTTAATGTCCTACTGTTCTGCTCCGAACTGGGTTTTTGAAGACAGGCATATAAAATAAAACTAAGTACGAACAATCCAAACCATAATACAAAATTCGAAGTCCTAAAAAAACGGTATAGGCAAAACAGTGTAATCAGCGAATGGACTGTTCACCGTGTACAAAATACACGACAGTGTGCTATGAGGGAAATTTTGCCTGGACAGCGGCACTATGGCCTACTCTTATATCAAATTCCAACTGTCAAGGGATCTTTTACGTGCACGCCAATGTGTATACGGGACCTCGGTTTTTCATCCCATCCAAACGACTAGACAGCTGTCTGTGCCAGGCCCTCCGTCCTGCATCACTGACAAGGGGAAACCACGCCGGAAAATCTGAATGAACTTTCTCAGCCAATGCTGGGATCGAACACTTGACCTCCAGGCTAGCGAGCCAGCATCTTACCCACCTAGCCACCGTGATCCCCAGGTCCGTTTGAGAACTTTGCTTTGTGAACAATCTATTTTCAATATTCAACCATTTTTTCTTTCAGTTTCCTAGAAAAAAAAGTAGAGAAAGTGGATAAAGACTTTTTAAAAAAAGTTCCTGTTGACGATGTTTGGATAAGAAAGTATTATCCTGAACGACGCTACAGTATGGCTGATGCTATTCACAAACATCGTGAATTAGCACAACCTGAAATGTTAAACAATATGGATGGTCTTATTTACGCAGAAATGACTCTTGACATGATAACCACTAAAAAGGTTCGAATTTCTTTTGTGAATGATACTTCTTTCCTTGTAGCAATCTGTTTATTGGGTTCAAATTGATATCCTCTTCGTCTTCGAAGGAATTTATAAAAGAGCTGAAAGTCGCCACTGTACCTAGAGCAATACATTATAATACATACATACTAATTTATTTGGCTGACATTTCGAAGAGTATTCTCTCAAAGTTATGAAATGAAATGAAATGAAATGGGGTTTAACGTCCTACTGTTCTGCTCCTATACTGGGCTAATGAAGACGGACATATGCCATACTGTGTGCTATGAGGAAAATTTTGCCCGGGCAGCGGGGCTACGGCCCACTCTTATATCGAATTCCAACTGCCAAGGGATCTTTTACGTGCACGCCAATATGTACACGGGACCTCGTTTTTTCGTTCCATCCGAACGACTAGACAGCTGTCCTTGTCAGGCCCTCCGTCCTGCATCACTGACAAGGGGAAACCACGCCGGAAAATCTGGATGAACTTTCTTGGCCAATGCAGGGATCGAACACCTGACCTCCAGGCTAGCGAGCCAGCTTCTTACCCACTTAGCGATGTGATCCCTCCCAAAGTTATCAAGCTAATACAGTTTTACAATTTCCGGTGTGGTTTCCCCCTTGTCAATTTTGCAGGACGGAGGGCCTGACTTTACACTTATAAATATGATTCACAACATGTTCAAAATAGAGAATATCACTTGTTTTTCTTTGATTTCAGGCCAAATTTATTAAAGGTTTCCGAGAAACTGTGTTATTACCCCATCAATTTGACGACCAAACACAGCAAAAGGTGGCTGTATTTTGTGAAGTAAGTACACACAGCCTACTTCAAATATTCCAATGAGATGAAACTACAGAAATCAAAACACTTTTTTTTAATTTAATTTTTATAGAAATTTGGTGGTATATTGTCGTCACCTCTGTCCGTCCGCCGTTCAAAATTTCTTGTGAACACTCTACAGACTGCATTTATCATCCAATCTTTTTGAAATGTATATATGTTGTTTACATCAGTGTGACAAAGAAGTCTGTTTAATTTCAACAATTTCCATTAATTACTTCTAGAGTTATTGTCCTTGTTTCACGTTTTAGAGCCTTTGGAAAGCTATAACAACTTAATCATCTGATCTGTATTGAATTTATAAGCATTATTTAAATTAGTAAACAAAGAAGCCTATTGAATTTCCTCAATTTATGTTGAAGACTAAAAACTAAATTTATCATCCAATTTATCATCTGATCTGTATGAAATTGATAGCAGTGTCTTGTAACTGCTCCTATCAGCTACAAAATATTAAATATGCGACAACACTAGCATTGTCGAGGGTTGGACGATCTAGCTGTTGTGGGCATATGTTTTGTTGCCTGGCAAACTATCTTTTTTCATAATGAAACAAATATGTTCGAAAGTACAAAAGTAACAAAACATCTGCATTGCCAGTTACTCTAGATGGACTTCTATTACTGGACATCTTTAATTTTTTTTTTTTTTTTTTTTCTTTTTTTTTTTGGCCTGTGATATTGAGCTTCATCTGCTGATGTGACAAGTTAAATATATGGGTTTGTAAATATGTTGTCTGTGAGAGAGTGAAGCTAGTTATTATGGGAGATTAAATAAAGAGCTGGCAGCCTTCACTATAATAGTTTAAACTTGATAATGTAAAGGGAATTTGCTGAAAATTTCAGTCAAATTGATACTCTGAACTGAGAATTTAGAGATTGAATTTTTGGCCTAGCCTCGACCATCATTACTAAAGCCGGATGATAAAAAACATGGTCTTGATTATCCATTTCATGATTAAATCATGAATGAAAGTTGAGCAGCAAATCGGATCCTAATCCAGTAAATATCGCAGGCTAGCTATGACATGGAGAGTTGATTAAGGTCTTTTCATTTTAATAAACATCTTATTTATAGTTTATATAACATTTCAGGCTTAAATAAAGACCTGAAATAGGCAGATTTAACTCTTTCATAATGTATGTTTAATTGTTTTAAATTTCTTTAGACAGATTCAGATATAGCTTTAGCTAAAGAAATGGGAGCAACTTATGTTGGAGGCAGGGAATTAGTCAAAGAGGTAAACATTTCTTATTTTCTATTCAAAAGTGAGGCTAAGTCAACAGATATAGGCAAGGTTGAGATATAATTAATTTTTGTATTCGGCAGTCATTAGGTGCAGTTTAATATAAAAAAGAAAAACATTAAGACTTCAGATTTATTATTTTGACCATCATTTATATAGCCATTATTTACATACATGTAACGATCATTTAAAAACAATATCCAAACTACAAGAATAATATATTTCTTCTAGAACAAAGAAGGGGGGTGGGGGATTGCCTAATGGTTAGCTCAGGCGTGTTGTATCGTAAGGTCTGTCATTAAGTCAACTGATGGGGTTTCGATTCTCGAGTTGTACGTGACAAAGAGTAGGGTCGCCTGTGCAACCTCGAGGGTTTTCTCTGGGTCCTCCGGTTTCCTCCCACTGTTAAAGAGGCCATAGGCACAAGCGAATTATTGAAATAAAACTGAACCATATGCTAGTCTCGAAATGACCTGGTTTGTCTCGAGTGGACGTTAAAGCCCATTTCTCTCTCTCTCTAGAACAAAGTAAATAAATTTGGTTGCCCAAGTTTAGATTTTGTCGTGTGAGAGAGAGAAATGGGGTTTAACGTCCACACAAACTAGGTCATCTGAGGACTAACACATGGTTCAATTTTATTTCAACAATTCACTTGTACATAGGGGTCTTTAGCAGTGGGAGGAAACTGGAGGACGCGGAGAAAACCCACGAGGCTGGACAGGCGACCCTACTCCTTGTCGCGTACAACCAGGCAATCGAAACCACGCCAGTTGACTCAATGACAGACCTTATGATACAGCGCGTACGTGCTAACCATTCGGCTATCCAACAACTCTATTTGTACGTTTGGATAGCTTGGGGAACATGGTATGCATTAAATTAAATGTATATATACATGTAAAGAGTGAGAGAAATGGGGTTTAACGTCCACTCGACATAAACTAGGTAATTTCCAGACTAACATATGGTTCAATTTTATTTCCATAATTTGCTTGCGCATAGGGGTCTTTAGCATTGGGAGGAAACTGAAGGACCCAGAGAAAACCCTCTTCACATCTTCACATCAATGAAATAAAATGCCTATTTTGTTTGTTTGTAGATTGTAACAGGTGCGATAAACAAGGATGATATAGACCATTATTTATGTGTACCTGATATGTTAAATACTGTTATACCTATACGACCTGTAGTTAGAGAAAAGTTTCCTTTAAAAGTAAAAGGTAAGTCTATTTATATAATTTTGCTATTAAAATTATACCAACATTTTACTTTTCTCTGATATAAAGAGGGGTTGGATGGCTGAATGGTTAGCGTGTGCACCATATGTTAGTCCCGAAATGACCTAGTTTATGTTGGGTGGACTTAAACTCTCTCTCTCTCTCTCTCTCTCTCTCTCTCTTTCTTTCTCTCTCTCTTTTAGGGGTTCAAAATATGAATACATATGCACAATTATTTTGGGAGGTTTTTCTGTAGTTAAATACATTTCCCTATATGGCACTCATCCTCAATGCCCATATTGTGATTGGTCAATTTCAGATCAACCCACCAATCGAAAGCTATGAAGCAGAACATCTTTTGGTAGGCTTTGACTGACTGTCTATTCAAAATTAACATTTTATACTGTGATAGTTCCAGAACAAATTCATCTACCCACTTTGGGTGTATATTGTCGTCTACGGTTTTCGACAGATTCTTTTCCGATAGTGTGTATTGATTTTCAGTGTTCTGAGACCATTCATACCAGAGTGAACCTTATGAACGCAATAGAGGATGTACTTTTTCTCAGATGTTTTTCAAATTTGGTGGGAATCATTGGGGTGATTACTCATTAGAGGATGAACCCTATTAATTTTCAGCGCATGAGCTGCGCCTTTCTTCCCGACCCGTCTTGGAATCGGGATTTTTTTTTACAAGCAGTGCCATTATGTGTATGGGATCCTGGTTTCCTATCTGAAATGCTACATGTGTAAACATTTTGTTAAAATTCACAAACTTTGCTTTAATTTAATAAATTTGATATTTTGTAGGTAACTTTGCTTTAATTTCATAAATTTGATATTTTGTAGGTAACTTTGCTTTAATTTCATAAATTTGATATTTTGTAGGTAACTTTGCTTTAATTTCATAAATTTGATATTTTGTAGGTAATTTAAATGAAGATGTTAAAGCAATGTTAGAATTATTTTTAAAAGGTATAACCTTTAATTGTGTTAAAGAAACTGATTATATTGGTAAAATACAGGCACCCATTGGAACAGTAAGTAGATCCTTTATTTATTGTGCTTTCGATTCCCCGGTTGTACGTGACAAGGAGTAAGATCGCCTGTCCAACCTCGTGGGTTTTCTCACGGTCTTTCAATTTCCTCCCACTGCTAAAGACCCCTACGCGCAAGTGATTTATTGAAATAAAATTGAACCATATATTAGTCCCGAAATGACCTGGTGTGTGTTGAGTGGACGTTAAACCCTCTCTCTCTCTCTCCCTCTCTATCTCTCTCTCTCTCCCTCTCTCTCCCCCTCTCTCCCTCTCTCTCTCTCTCTCCCTCTCTCTCTCCCTCCCTCCCTCCCTCTCTCTCTCTCTCCCTCCCTCTCTCTCTCTCTCTCTCTCTCTCTCTCCTGTATTTATTATTTTTATAGTTCATGAAATTTATGTGAATTTTTTACATTAGTAAAGTGAGGAAAGCCTATGTAATATCAACAATTTCCATTAATTATTTCTAGAGTTGTGGCCCTTGGTTCACATTAAAGAATGTTGTTAATGCCAGAGTGACGAAAGTTATAATCCAATCCAGTTGAAATTGATATCAGTGTCTTGTAAATGCTCCTATTGCCTATGTTGCCTGGCAACCTATCTTTGGGTCAAAGAATTCAAAAGGATACTATCTCTTTTATGGGGTTAAAATATGTACATGTTTTTTTTTTTTTCTGTAGGCGGGTGCATGGCCAAATGGTTAGCGCGTGCGTGCTGTATCATAAGGTCTGTCATCGAGTCAAATGACGTGGTTTCGATTCCACGGTTGTACGTGACAAGGAGTACGGTCACCTGTCCAACCGCGTGGGTTTTCTCCAGGTCCTCCTGTTTCCTCCCACTGCTGATCAGTGCTAAAGACCCCTACGCACAAGCGAATTATTGTAATAAAATTGAACCATATGTTAGTCCCATTATGACCTAGCCTGTGTCGAGTGGACTTACCCCCCCCCCCTCTCTCTCTCTCTCTCTCTCTTTTAGGGTGTTAAAATATGAATACATGTGTACATTTTGTTTGGGGGTTTTTTTTTCTGTAGTTAAATATGAAAGATGAAGAAATAGAAGCAAATTATAAAGCGTTAATACCAGTTATATGGAAATACAAACCACAAAAAACAGGTTGGTATTAAATTTATATCACAAATTGTAGTAGAAACAGGGGGCCACGCGGGCTCAGGGAGTAAGACATCTGTCTAGTCGTTCGGAAGGGACGGAACCCAAGGTCCTATGTATACATAAGTGTGCATGTACAAGAACCGTTGATAGTTGGAAATTGATATAAGATTAGACCATTGCATCGCTGTCCAAGCAAAATTTCCCCCATATCACACTGTATGACATATTCCCGTCTTCATTAGCCCAGTTGGTGCAGAAAAGAAGGCCGTTAAACTCCATTTTATTTCATTTCATTTTATAGTAATGTCTTGCATCAGAGATAGCTTCTCTTTCAATACTTTATGATGATTTTATATTTCAGTTCACTTTGTAACGGAGTTATCTATTATCGCGCCACCTTCTGATGAACGATTTCTTCTCCAATTGGAAGATTACGTTCCTGGTCATGAGAAACAGGAAGATGAACAAGAACTGGATGATGAGGAAGACAAAATGGCTGCTACAAATTAAGGACTAAGAAGAAATGTCAGATTGTGTGTGACTGTTATATTAATGATAACACTATGGACAGGGAAGACAAATAAGATTGTTTGGACATGATCATGTAGTGATTTTAATGGATCACCAAATCACTAGTGATAAAATATCAGGTGTGTTTTCTGTGGAGTAAGTGTGGATAAGGTGATAAACACATTGCGTTGCATTTCCGGACCTCTTGAAAATTCATTTTTACCAGTACAGAAGCATTCTGCACAGTTCACACAGAGGACTATCTACTTTGAGAAAAGATCTCTGTATTGAATGGCCGCCATATTTAAAAATTTGTTTTTACCAGTACAGAACCATTCAGCACAGTTCACACCACAGAGGACTATCTACTTTGAGAAAAGATCTCTGTATTGAATGGCCGCCATATTTAAAAATTCATTTTTACCAGTAAAATTCATTTGCACAGTTCACACTACAGAGGACTATCTACTTTGAGAAAACATCTCTGCCCTGAATGGTCGCCATATTCAAAAATGGGTATATTATTTTGATATGTGGCTCTAATCCGTTTTGAATCTTTCATACAAACAATGATAAAATAAACATTTTCTATTTTATTAAATGAAAGCAAAATAAATATTTCTCCAAATTCTCGAAGTATACTTAATATATTCGACTGAAATCGTTGAGCTTCACTAGTGACATTTAATTGCTTTTCAGTGCAATAACTTTTCAAGGTTGTTCAAGCTACAATCTTTCAAGGTTGTAGAAACCTCTGAAAGTAGAAACTACACAATATGAATGTGCTTAATGGTGTAAATCAAATGGTATAAAAGGAAAATGAAATGGGGTTTAACATCCTACTGTTGCTTAGCGATATAGATCATGAACTGTAATATTAATGAAATGATAAATGTGTAGAGATGTGATATTTTTGTATATGTTACAGTCATTAAAGGAACCATTCAAATTTGAGTAAATTCTTATTTAAAAAAAAAATAATAAAGGTTTGACAGAAATGTCAGTCGATATAAAATGTATTTTTAGTCCCTTGTCAAACTATGCTTGATAAAATGTGATGCAAAGATTTAAATCAATGGAGGCAGACCACCATTAAATTTTACCCTCTCGGTACCCACAAATTGTAGTTCGTCTGTTTATCGCAATTCCCCCTCTCTCTCTTATTCCTCCCCTTTTGAATGCCCATTTTTGTTGATTTTTTGGGTCTAGAATGGACGAACGTGGTTTGAATTAACATTTCTGCCAGGTTTTGGTAAATATTCATGATTTAGAGGCAGTAGGATAACAAAGTTAACAGATTGGTTATGGTGATATGTACAGCGGATAGTTACATGTTTTTAGTATGCTACTTCAATGCTGTGTATCTTAAAATTTTGGTGCAAAGATATGACCATTTGTTTCTCTGTCTGTAGTGAAAAGCATTCAGCCCAACGAAAATTTGGGGAAAAGTTGGAGCCGGGCAAAAAGACCAGAATTAACATTGAAGTCAATGGGAAAATTAATAGTGGTCTGCCTCCCAATGTGTACATACACAGGACGTCGTTTTTACATCCCATCCAAATTACTAGACAGTACGTTGATCCCCCACAGGTACAATATTTAAGTAGAATTCACTTGTAATGACTAGAAAAAAGAGAAGCGATCTCAACTGACTCACATCCTTATGGAAAATGATATCATATTCCAATTTGTCACAGGATTTTTGTCTCATCTGAACCATTAGACAGCTGTCGGGGCCCTCCGTCCTACACTGCTGACAAGGGGATACTGTCAAATACTCAACTACTAACCCAACTTATTCATATTAAGGAATAGTGGTCTGCAGCCTTCTTGAGTTCTTTGTGTTGAGTTACTTCCCTTCATTAATAAAACGCTTTGATCCTAGATGGAATTCTGGGATGGAGTGAAATGTAAGATGGCTGATTTTAATTAGCCCCTCTGATTGTCATAAACAGTCATCAACAATCTTGGTCATCTTGTGGCCTCTACAACCCCATACCACATGGTGGAGAATCTAGAGGAACTTTCTCAGACCACACTGGGAGCAACTCCTAGATCTCCTTGCTAGCATGCCAGCGTCTTACTGAGCCACAGTGACTCCCTTGTATTCCAATTTCCAACTATCACACGCATGTACCATCTAAATGACTATGCATGAAATATCCTGAAGATTCTTCTTGGCCAACGTCTTTCAATTTCAAATTATTCTAACTGAGATGAGAGTATACTGCCCAGACGACAAGCACCCTTAAAAAGTCTTTTGAAAAATATAACATAAGACAGAGATAGAGAAACAGAAATATGGTTCAATGATTCGCTTACGTGTTGGGGTCTTTACAGGCGACCCCTACTCCTTGTCACCTACAACTGGGAATGGAAACCATGCCACTTGACTTAATGACACAGAGAGAGAAATGGGGTTTAACATCCACTCGACACAAACTAGATCATTTGGGGACTAACATATGGTTCAATTTTATTTCAATAATTCGCTTGAGCATAGTATATGGGTCTTTAGCAGTGGGATTAACCGGAAGATCTGGAGATAACCCATGATGTTGGACAGGCAACCCTACTCCTGGTAACGTACAACCGGGGAATCGAAACCACCCCATTTGACTCTATGACACGCGTACTCTCACCAATTATTCAGCCCCAACTTAATGACAGACCTTATGATACAACGCTCACCATTTATTTGGACCCCAACTCAATGACAGACCTTATGAACTAAAGCGTCGGCTTTAGACCATTCAGCCACCCTACGCCCCCCTTGTGTAAAAAAAAATAACATAAGAATGACAGACCTTATGATACAACGCGCGCACGCTCACCATTTATGCAGCCCCAAACTCAATGACAGCCCTTACATACTAAAGCCCCCTACCCCCTTGTGTAAAAAAAATAACATAAGAATGACAGACCTTATGATACAACGTGCGCACTCACCATTCGGCCCCAAACTCAATGACAGACCTTATGAAATAAAGCGTGTGCTTAAGTTCATTCAGCCCCCTACCCCACCCACCTACCCCCCTTGTGTAAAAAAATAAAATAAGAATGAATTATAAAGTATAATTATGATCTATTTTATTAATTTCTAATATATATCTTCACAGTATAATATGACGTTTCATCAGGAGGAGATATTACAGATTCTATACACGACTAAAAAGGACTGAGAAATTCACACACAACAAATCACAGGAATCAGGCCATGATAGATCAAGGAATAGAAGAGATCAAATAAAATGAAAAGGGGAGTCTCTGGCCTGCTTCTCAAAAACATGAAACTAAAATATTTTAAGGATTCTGTCTATTCATTGGCTGAGTTTATATTCTAAACCAATGAAAAGGCTGTATTATAAAATATTTAAGTTTAAGTATGAAGGCCCCGCTCTTCAAATTTTACAATATTTTCTCCGCCACATGGATTACATTACATAATTTTGTTTATATTTATAAACTTTAAACAAGAAATCCTCCATCAAATTACCCTGGGTCTTAAATTTTCACTAAGGTATGGCTGTTGTTGTAGCCGACAAGCAAGTTGATTGACCACTAAATTAACAAGTAATAATCAACCCGTTGCAATTTAGCCGAAAGTAGATTGATTTATGATACCATAGTGACCAGTTCATTGTTTTACCAATCGGCTTGAATGAACTTCAAGCGGCTAAAGCCGACAAAAAACAGCCAATTAAGATCCCTGGTCTTAATGTATTATAGTGTACTATACATCAGGAATTGTGCCATGTGGTGTGGTGAAATACTTAGATTTCTCCGCCGACGTTCCTTGCATTAATCTGGGTTTGCATGAAATCGAAATAATTTGATATGTTTCCAGTTTATGAAATTTGTTGAAGCTTTGTACAACCAAACCCAAATTAACGATAATTACTTTAATGAGCATTTTCAATAAATAAATAAAATAAATTCATAATTTATCGGATAATTTTAGTAAATAATTCTGGACGTCAATCCGAAAGAAAGCTAAGCAATTAGATACTCTATGTTTTAACAAGCGCTCAGCGAAATTAATTTGAGTAGCCTTAAAAGATGAAAGTTTTGAAGATATAAATCCTGGAATTCGAGCAGATCTTCTAAGCTAAAAGAATGTAGAATAACAATATGTAAAAATTAAGATAATCAAGATATATTAATTTCATTATTTTCAGTATATAAATTATAGAACAAGAATTCATTTATAAACAATCTGAATTATGTAATTAATTCTTTATGAGTGATATAGTTTTATTTTTCGATCTTGTTCTTGTTTTTTCGGGGCGACGCACTTCAAAACAAGTCTAAAGCTCTGCAAATTCATGAACGATCGACATAAACCTAGGTAAGCTTGTTCCAGGGTCCATTTCACATCGATTAACAGATTTTGAATATTGTTACAATTCTAAGATGGCTGCAATACTTGGTTCCTTGTCTGTTGAAGAAACTCCGGGGAATAACAAAAGCTGTTACACAAGCAACCTGATCCTTCGTCGTATACAGATATGAGATCGACCTCTGGACACCGGTATCGTTGACAAACATTACGATGTACAGATTATATGTTAAATCGCTAGGCCCCCCCCCAAACCCCCAACCCTTAAAGGGGTGCTCTCAAATATCCTCTTGCTATGCACACATCGCCTAACTAAACAGGAAACCACCTTGGCAACTGCCTTGAATAAAATTACACATTTAATTTTTAATAGTGATACACAAATGAAGTTTAAAAAAAATGAAGAAAACACAGGAGGGAAAAATAAAAAATAGCACTATAGAATGACGTTAAATATTTGTAAATAATTCAGATCCATCAAATTCTTATTGAACTAAAGATCTCTATCAACCAAGCATGACGACAATATCTTCAGGGTGTTAGAATTGTCAAACTTTATGCTTTCACAGTTTCCAGCAAGGCTTGGTACATTAATATCATTATTCAATATGAAATTACAACTGTCTGTACAAATGTCCACATGGACAACTATAACTACAGCCTGGGATCAGGGTCAGATTAAAGGGGGCCGACTTGGCTTCAATCCGGGACACCAAATTAGTTCTAAAAATAAATTTGTACCAATGTACCATACTGACATACAAATTGTATTTGTGTGAGTGTGATGGACAATGACCAGAATAATCCCCCATTTTTACTGTTGATACAAGCGAAGGGCCCCTTGCTGCGATGGTTGCTGTCATGCTTGGTGGACATAGACTTCAACTGTAACAGATGTACGATATACAGCTATATTACTTAATGTCAACTAGATCAAAAAGTAGAAAATAATTTGAAAACCAAAACATGGCCAAAGTGTCAATTAGTACATTCTGAGACATTCAAAATATCAAGCACCTGACTTGTCGAGCCCTGCAGGAACAAGAAGATATGATCTAAACCGGTGCCAGTATTTTTTCACCCAAATGTTTCTTGGTCTGGGCCCTGTTTCTCGAAATCTAACTAAAGATAAAATCCAAATTTTAGTAGATACTTCAATTTTGACTGGCTTAGTACTAAAATCAATCTAATATTATCCAATCAAATTACTAAAATTTGGATTTTATCTTAGTTAAAATTTCGTGAAACAGGCCCCAGGTACATAATTGATCAATAAAATTAATAAAGTAGTTGATAAGTAGATGATATTACTTGTTTCATAAGTTATCGTATGTGCCCGGAAAATATACACTTTCAATCAAAATTAACTATTTTTAAAAACGAAATAAACTTCAAAATGACAAAAGCCAGATAATTTTTCAGGCAAACCGTACAATTAACAAGCAAGTTAGAAGTAGAAAGTCGTTGAAGACTGATGATGTAGATTCAACATACTTTTTAAACCAAAATCAACCTGACAGAAGCCAGCTATTTTTCCAGTAAAAGGTACGATTATCAGGCAATTCACAAGTAGAAAGTCGTCGGCGACTGGTGACATACTTTTAAAACGAAATCAACATTCAGTGAAATGTACGATTAACAAGCAATTTATAGGTAGAAAGTCGTTGGAGATTGGTGACGTAGATTAGATCTAGTTACATTATAACATTAAGTAATATGGCAATAAAAGTTTCAACTGGATCTAAGCACATATCCATCATAATCTCCCATTATGTAAATACAGTCAAATATATATAAACTTCCAGCATTAAACGTAGGTTTAATTTTTACTACTTTAACTCGTACTCAATAATAAATGTTCAAGACTACTTTACAGTTAACCTCTATTTAACACTAATCAACGTTTTAATTTACTGGGGAATATTGATCAACGTTAATACCCGTAGATATTGACTCATACATATATAACTTCCATCATGTCCAAATCTATTGGATTTGAAAAATATATAAACTCTAGTTGTTTTTTAACATCAACTTTCATACAACAAATATATTATCATAAATCAAATGTTTTCCATTGGTGCAATATAAGTTAATGAGGTATTGGCTTGTGCCTATGCTTTTTAGAACATCTGATACCACTTATTATGAAATTTTCCTTTCCTCACAAGGTTTATTGCAAACTCTAAATGCTTTGTGAAGGGCTATTACGAGCTTAAGTGATGACTTATCAGGATGTTTCCTGAGGTATTGGCTTGTGTCTACATTTTCTAGAACACCCAATTCCATTTCTCATCAGGTTTCCTGAGGCCGGGGTATTGCATAGATAAAAGTGAAAGTAGTAAAAAATAAACCCAGTTCGCGAGTATCCTTCCATATTATTAAATGACATATCATTATGGCAGTTTATGTAAATGTTAAACCGGCTTCTTGATAGACACCAAAGATTTTCTCGATGGCGGTGATGTAAGCAGCCGTACGAAGATCTAAACCTAGATTATATTTCATACATGTCTTCATTATATTCTGAAATAAAAAAACAAAATAAACTTTTTCATTTATGATTGGTTTTTTTTTTGGTTTTTTTACAGAGACAGAATTGGGTTAAATATCAAGAAACACTAACTAGGTCATTTTGGGTCTTAACACGATATATTTTCATATCAACCATTCGCTTGCTCACAGGGATCTTTAGCAGTGGGAAGATACTATATAACTTTTGGAGAAAGTCCACTTTGTTATCAAACACATGGTTCAATTTTATTTCAATAATTCGCTTGCGCGTAGGGGTCTTATGCAGTGGGAGGAAACCGTATGACCTGGAGAAAACCCACGAGGTTGGACATTGAACACGGGACCTCCATGCTAGCTGGCCATTACTTTACCCGTGGCTCCCTGGATAATAAGCAAAGTCATTAACCTACCCTAGCTGATCTTTCCATGGTATATTCTAAACCAGAATGTACGATATCTTTTTCAGAGGCACCAGCAATTCTCTTCTCGAAATCTTCACTGGGTATAATAGGTATATGGGATCCATCTCGAGCAAATTTTCTTTCTAATGATTTCTGTACACTTTCTGAAATTAGAACAAACAGACTCGATCATCAACAACCTGTGTCCATTAAAACACAAAAGTCATTAAAGTTATTTCGACTCGAATCAGTCATTTTACATTGATATAAAATCCAATGAAATTAAAAAATTTATTTTTGACTTGAATAAAAGATGTCCATTCATTTTACATCGATATAAAATGGCAGGGGCAACACCAGCAAAAAAACATTCTTTATACATCCAAACTGACTTAAATATGTATTATGCAAGAGCTATATCTTACTATTGCAGATCTTTCCTTTGTCCTCAAATGTTATATAAATCATTAATTAGGCATTAAGTTATAGACCATAATCAACTCTAGACCATCGCATGATTGTGATTTTGAACGAATGGAAAGACAATAGCCGTTTAATAATTCAATTTATTATTGTAACGATGGTAGCAATGAAAATCTCTCATATTTAATATATAATAAACTTACGAAGTAAATGGTAATTAGAATCTTTCTCATATTTAAATGTGAGACGTCCGTAACTGACATGATTTAAATTCTTCAACCATTCAAAATATGATACTGTCACACCACCAGCATTTATATACAGATCCTGTTCAAATATACAAACAATTTATTATACAAATCATAAAATATACAATTTATCATATAAAATATACAAGCAATTTATCATATAAATTATAAAATATACAAACAATTTTTTATACAAATTATAAAATACACACGCAATTTATCATATAAATTATAAAATATACAAGCAATTTATTATACAAGGAAGGGCATACATCAGGTGTTTTATTTTACACAAAACTTGTTATCAGTATTAGAAGAGATTACACAGGCAACTCAGGGAGCCACATTTATTTGTACGGAAAATCATGTTTAAGCTTGTAGACCCTCTAAGGAACACAATTTCTATCCGATTTTGACAAAACTTAAAATATATGTTTACATGTATGTCCCAAAGATCCCAGTCCTTTTGATATTGGCATGTATCAAACCCTAACTTCATGGATTATGGCCCCAGATTGTACGAAAGATCATGTTTTAGCTTGTGGGCCCCCTTAGAGGTCAAAATTTCTATCTGATTTTGATGAAACTTAAAATTTATGTTTATATCCCAAAGATCTTGGTTTCTTTTGATATTGGCATGTATCGAACAGTAACTTCATAGATCTTTGCCCGATTGTACGAAAAATTACAATTTTAGCTTGTTCAACAATGAGAGGATGAGTCCTATTGATTTTGTTCTTCATCCATCTTTTGAAAAATGTGGGCGTATCTTGCTGAGTTTTATAATAAAGAGTTAAACTTACTGGTATAACTAAAACATTGTTTTGTATAAATATCTGATCAGCTTCTAATGTTGTTGGTCCATTTGCACCTTCAGCTATAATCTATAATATATAAATTAAACACAAGATACAGGACTAGCACTTAACTATCACCATCTATTGAAAAAACTATGTTATAGCCATTCCCTTATATATTACTAATTGACGTTGAATACGGCTAATTTATTCGATTTTTTTGACAATGACAATCTGTTTTTTTAACAGGCCTTCGGGGTAAATACATTTTATGAGGGAAAAAAATAAAAATTTAGAAAAAATGCATTCAAATATCAAATAATAATTCACTGAGAAAGTGAAAAACAACAAAATCTAAAAACCCTAATTTTGGAGAATTTTTTATGTTTTTCGCCTACAGGTCCCCCTTAAAGATACATTATGGAAGATTAGATAAAGAGCTGGCAGTTCTCACTATAATAAACAAACAAAACACAAGATACAGGACTAGCACAATGAAAGATTAGATAAAGACTTAAAAGAGCTGGCAGTTCTCACTAGATAATGTAAAGGGAATATACACTAAGCCAAGAAAACCTTATTCTAAAATCAGACTAGCACTTAAAGATACATTATGGAAGATTAGATAAACAGCTGGCAGTGTTCTCACTAGTTAATGTAAAGGGAATATGCTCTAATTTTCAGTCAAATTGCTTCACACTAAGCCGAGAAAACCTTATTCTAAAATCAGGACTAGCACTTAAAGATACATTATGGAAGATTAGATAAAGAGCTGGCAGTTCTCAATAGATAATGTAAAGGGAATATGCTCAAAATTTCAGTCAAACTGCTTCACTCTAAGCCGAGAAAACCCTATTCTAAAATCACTGTAGCCTCGATTATCATTGTTACAGCTACCACGATAATTAACAAAGTCTTGATTATCCATTTTTGAGGTTAATTATCAATGGGCATTGAAAAGCAGATCGGATCCAAATACAATGTAAATCGGACAAATAAGATTGCATCGCGAGTTGATTATGGTCTTTTCATGTTAATAAATGTCTAATTAATAATCTATATAACATTTCAGGCATAAAGAAAGACCTGCAATAGGCAGATTTAGCTCTTGCATAATGTATGTTTAAATATTACCATCTACTGATATAAACTATGTTACAGCCATACCCTTCTATATTAAATGGGGGGTGGGGCCGAATGATTAGATCATAAGGTCTGTAATTGTGTCACGCTAAGTGGTTTCGATCCACAGCTTGAATGTGACAAGGAGTAGGTCCACCTGTCAAAATCTTGTGGGTTTCCTCTAAGCTAAAGACCCATGCACACAAAGAGAATTATTGAAATAAAATTGAACCATATGTTAGTCCTAAAAATACCAAGTTTGCATCGAGTTGATGTTAAACCCCATTTCAGTGTTTCACTAAAACACTGTTGTTCACTGATATAACCCAGCCGGTTTTCCATATATTATACGCCTTTCAGGTATTTATTTTATAAAGAACATTACCACGACCCCAGACATTATGGCCCACTAAACAGCATGTTAAAGATCCTTTACAGTTGGAAATCACAATAAGAATAGGCAGTAGCATAGCAAACAAGCCACAATTTATCTCCTAGCACAATTGTGGTTAGTGCTAAATGATAAGGCCAGCTCAATTTTTCATCGTAAGTCACGAGAAGTAAACAGGGCTAGCGCTAATCCTAACCCTGGACCTAGCTCCAATAAGAATAGGCAGTAGTATAACAGTCAAGCCACAATTCATCTCCTGACACAATTGGATGCCGTGTTTAAGTCTTTATTTACCTGGTTGATGCAGTAAAGTAACGTTTACCCTGGAGAAAATTCTCTTACCCTAGCTTGAACTTTGCCTGCATTTTCTGCGGTTAGTTGATGTTCACTGGCAGCTGGCACAAGAATATCACATTTAGCAATCAGTAAATCATCTTCGTACGCCTGAGCTCCGGGGAATCCGACAATCGTACCATTTTCCTATAAAAATACATCACATTTTAATAACAAATCAAGGAAAATATCGGAAAGAGTAAAAATATCCATGGACAATCCTATGCACAGACCAGATCATGGCAAAATCCAACCAGATAAGCAATCATTTAGTAACTGAACTTTTTATGGAATAACAATTACTGGTTTATTAACAAGCAACGTTTCAACGATGATACTCTCATCTTTATCAAGCAAATAATAACATATATGTAAAAAAAACTTAAGCATTTGATACAAATTCCCGCCACTTTTGTTGCCAAGAAATGAAACAAAGTCTGATTATGATAATTGTCTACAATAACACATCTTCTTATAATGACTTAATATAAGTGCAGGAGAACCACACTACACACAAAACCCATAAGACAAACTACACGGACATTGCAAGAAATAAACAACAAATATCAAATCAAGTCAATGGACCAAGGGAAAAGATGCATGAGTAACTTTTCCAGCTTTTGTTTAGGGCTGTTGATACCTGATTGTTCTTCAGACAATGTGAATATCCTATACGAGGTTTCAAATTGTTGTCAAATGTCGTTGTCCGAAGGAATATACTACCAGCCATATCAAGATAATCTAATCTAAGTAAATCCTGCATTTTTGAGATGTGTTTGAAAATTAATCTCTGCTGCGATCAACGTCTAAGCTTGTCTAAATGGAAATACTAGTTTTCTCATGAATATGATCAGGTTTTGTCTTTTTCAGTCATTTTCCATAATGATTGGGATGTCAAATGCATGACTTATGGGAGTGACCTGCAACATACTAATGACAATGTATAAACGCAATGCCCTCCCCCATCTTCCCAGTAGTTTTAACAATATTAAGGACTTTTTGTCTTGAACACGAGCCATCAATTGTTTTCTCTATATGCTCCACAGAATCTCTCATGGAGCTCCAAAGAAGCCCTAACAGAGCTCTCCATAGAATCTCTCACATAGCTCTCCATAGAATCTCTCACATAGCTCTCCATAGAATCTCTCACAGAGCTCCACAGAAAGTCTCACAGAGTTCCACAGAATTTCTCACGGAGCTCCACAGAATCACTCATGGAGCTCCACAGAATCTCTCACGAAGCTCCACAGAATCTCTCATGGAGCTCCACAGAATCTCTCATGGAGCTCTTCAGAATTTCTCACGGAGCTCCACAGAATCTCTCACAGAGAACTACAGAATCTCTCACGGAGCTCCACAGAATCTCTCACGGAGCTCCACAGAATCTCTCACGGAGCTCCACAGAATCTCTCACAGAAAACTACAGAATCTCTCACGGAGCTCCACAGAATCTCTCACAGAGCTACACAGAATTTCTCATGGAGCTGGACAGAATTTCTCACAGAGCTCCGCAGAATCTCTCATGAGCTTCACAGAATCTCTCACAGAGCTCCACAGAATCTCTCACAGAGAACTACAGAATCTCTCACAGAGCTCCACAGAATCACTCACGGGGCTCCACAGACTCTTTCACAGAGCTCCACAGAATTTGTCACGGAGCTCCACAGAATCTCTCACGGAGCTCCACAGAATCTCTCACAGAGCTCCACAGAATTTCTCACGGAGCTCAACAGAATCTCTCACAGAGCTCTCCACAGAATCTCTCACAGCTCATGTATGTAATTTTGTAAAATGAGGAAAGCTGTACTCACGATTTTATAATCTTCTAATTCTCTTGGGTCGATACCCTCTGGGTTGTAGATACTGCCGGTTAATTCCTTTATACCGATACATTTAGCTCCGGCACGATGTAAATATCTCATTGAATGAAGACCTACATTACCTAATCCCTAAAAGGTAAAAAAAATTAAGGAAATGAATGAAATGTGGTTTAAAGTCTAATGAAGACCGGGGGAAAATGAAAAAAAAAAAATTAAGGATATAAAGGTTACTGAATCAGCTAATCAGTTGTTAAAAACTGAACTACAACCAGTAAATCGAACTATCCGCATTTCATAACTATGATGAAACATATTAGTTTTACCGACTTTTCATTCATACTCATTTATTCATTCTTTATCTTGTGCACTTATAGGTCAAGTAGACCACTTTCATTGAAGTTTCACCCCCCCAATAAATGTTCACCTATTATACTATAAGATAAGACAAATGTTTTATGATCTTTAACGAGAGAAAACACTGTCATAACCGCAAGTTTTTAGTTTGATATCAAGAAGAATAACAAAAAAAATTTTGTAACCAGTCAAAGAGATAGGGAAATGGGGTTTAACGTCCACTCGACACAAACTAGGTCATTTCGGGATTAACATATGGTTTAATTTTATTTCAATAATTCGCTTGCGCGTAGGGGTCTTTAGCAGTGGGAGGAAACCGGAGGACCCAGAGAAAACCCACGAGGTTGGACAGGCGACCCTACTCCTTGCCACGCCAGTCGACTCAATGACAGACTTTATGATACAGCTCGCGCACGCTAACCATTCAGTCATCCAACCCCCTGGAAATTTGGTATTTTAGCACAAATGCCAATGGCGCATTGTTACTTTAAGAACCTTAGAAATATCACTTTTTTTTATTTATATCAGATAACATATTGATTAGCAGTATCAGTGTTTTCTACCCATTTTCAATGGGATAATTTAAATGTGCCGCGGAGAGTCAGATATTTAGTAATTGCAGTGTGCGTGTTTACCACCAACTCATCTTCATCTCATCAACGTAGAAATGTGATTCATAGTGCTATGCGCATCCCAAAATAAAATGCCCGAAGAAAAGATTAACAGTTTCCGCAGGTAGAGATATAATAATCCTCTCACCTGAACAATAAATGTTTTATCACCGAAACCTGGTGTTAATCCAACCATACTCATATAGCTGGCTTCATTTACAAAATTCTGAATACCATGGAATACACCCTACAATACAAAAACATTTCAATAAATAATATTTTACATATGTAAAACAAAGAATTCCTGTACAAAGAAATCAATACATGCTAAAGAGAGAAAGAGAGAGAAATGGGGTTAAACGTCCACTCGACACAAACTAGGTCATTTTGGGACTACCACATGGTTCTGCGCATAGAGGTCTTTACCAGTGGGAGGAAACCCGGGGACCCGGAGAAAACCCACAAGGTTTGACAGGCGAGCCCACTCCTTGTCATGTACAACCGGGCAATCAAAACCATGTCAGTCGACTGAATGATAGACCTTATGATACAGAGCGTACGTGCTAATCATTCGGCCAACCAACACCCCACAAGTTAAAGACGGTCAACATAAAGGAGCTGTCACTTATTTCATAGGTTGATAAAGAAATGAAATGAAATAGGGTTTAAGGTCCTAGTTTTCTGCATCAAATGGGCTAATGAAGACGAGCTTACACCATGCTGTGTATTAGGAGAGAAATTTTGCACGGACACCAGCGCTATGGCCTACTCTTATTTCGAATTCCAACTGCCGGATAACATGATTTATCTCCCTTGTTACTTCCGGTTTATTGTTTTTGATATTGAGACATTGTTTCGTATCTATATGTATTATACCAGCGGCAAGGGGCCGCATGTTTTGTGTTGAATGAAAGTATGAAGAACCGACATGTGTCATAGTTATATTTGCATAAGAACTGGCATGTGCCAACCCAGTTATTACTGCCAATAGTGTGCCTTTACATACAGGACCTTGGTTTTTTGTCCCGTCCAAACTACAAGGCACTGTCATTGCCAGACACTTTGTCCTGCAACACATGCCAGCAAAAATCTGTTTATCAGAGAAAATTTGGGATTTTTCAGACATGTAGTAAGCTGTAAATAGCTATAATATGTTCCGTTTTTTACACATGACTTAAAATGCTATTCATATACTGAGACAAATGTCTGTAAATATTTATACTTACACGACCAGTAGCTGAAACACGACCATGTATACCACCTTGAGCTATAGGTTTACCCGTTACACAAGCTCTAGCATTAATATCATAATGACCTACAAATAATACACATATATTATACATCTACACCTATAGTACAAAATCTACGTAAGTCTATAGTACAATGATCTAAAATCCATCAAAAGAATCGACATATGTTAAATTTCATTTACATTCAATAAATGATTGTGAATGCATCTCTGGAAAGGTAAATAATTATGCTTTAGGGCAACACAAATATAGATTGTTGAAAACCTTTAACACGTCAATAGGCTACGTGTAATAACCAAAATCATTTTAATTTGCTCAAGCTACTTTTGACAGAAGGAGAGAAATGAAGGTTTAACATCTTCGGAAATAACCCTCGACGTTGGACAGGCGACCCGACTCCTTGTCACATACAAGCGAGAATCGAAACCACGTCACTTCGACTCAATGACAGACCTTACGATCTAAGTTGAATATCCAAAAGGAACATCAGTCCAAAAATGGCTCAGCTCTGTTCAGTATATATAACTTTATAAAGAATTGAAAATTTCCTCAACCATAAGCATACTCTGCAATTGATTTAAACATGACCCCCACCCCACCCTATTTTATTGCACATGTCTGCAGGGTTTCCATCAGTTAGATGGAAATGGTCCCATTACATTTGCATTAGACTGACTTTTTCGCCGGAGAACAGGTCTTAGTGTAGAAATAAAATGCCATTTACCTAAAGTTTGTGAAAAAGTGTCAGCAATCCAGCTCATTTCACGTTCTCCAGTACCCATGTCTGGAGCAGGAACATCAATACCAGCACCTAGAATTACACAAAATATATAACTAATTCAATATCAAAATATATTACTAATTCAACATCAAAATATATTACTGATTCAACATCAAAATATATTACTGATTCAACATCAAAATATATTACTAATTCAACATCAAAATATATAACTAATTCAACATCAAAATATATTACTGATTCAACATCAAAATATATTACTAATTCAACATCAAAATATATTACTGATTCAACATCAAAATATATTACTGATTCAACATCAAAATATATTACTAATTCAACAAATAATATTGGGCTTGCTTTTGTGGTGAATTATAGGAAGGTATATTTAGAAAGACAGTGGTTGTTTAGGAACGTAATTATGTTGTCTTTGATTGGCTGATGTTATATAGGGAGAGAGAGAAATGGGGTTTAACATCCACTCGACACAAACTAGGTCTTTTCGGGACTAACATATGGTTCAATTTTTTTTCAATAATTCACTGGTGCCTAGGGATCTTTAGCAGTTGGGGGAAACCGGAGGAGAAAACCCATGAAGTTGAACAGACAGCCCTATTCCTTGTCACATACAACCTGGAAATCAAAACCACACCAGTTGACTCAAAGACAGACCTTATGATACAACGCACACACACTAACCATACGGCCATCAAACCCCCTAATTTGGATTAAAATGGGTTAACCTGCAATAATACTGACAGCATATCTAAATTTTTAAAGCAGATCTACCCAATTCAATAAAAGCATTTGAAGTAACTACTGGTTTTTCATACCAATAAACCCTTTCTTGGCCAACTCTATGGCTAATCTTCGAGTAATTTTCTCCAGTTCATTTTCCGAGTAATTTCTGGGGTCAATTTTCACACCAGCTTTCGCTCCACCAAATGGTGTGTCAACTACAGCACATTTATACGTCATCAACGCAGCCAAGGCTTTTACTTCATCTACATTAACCAGGGGGCTGTATCTTATACCTGAAATAATAGTAAATAAAAAACATCTACATTAACCAGGGGCCTATATCTTATACTTGAATTGATAGTAAATAAATATATGTTAAACATGCATTATGCAAGAGCTAAATCTGCCTATTGCAGGTCTTTCTTTAGGCCTGAAATGTTTTCTAAAGTATTAATTAGACATTAATTAACTGATCCAGGCCTTAATCAACTCTTGATGGCCTCAGATTTCTCTGATATTAAATAGATTAGAATGGTTCAGCGATACTTTGATTTAATCAAATATGGAGGAGCAAGACTTAGCTTCGATCAACCAGTACGGTGGTTGAAATTATTGCACACGTCTGTCAAACCTTCAAAGGCTAATATCTTCGCTTGCAATAGAGTAATTTGAATGAAATTTTCAAATTATTCATTTTACATCATTTACTTTTGAACTATTGTAGCAAGAATGGCTAGTTCTTTATCTAAATCTTACATAATGTATCTTTAATTGTTGTACATGTGTAACTCATCAAGGGCAAAGACTGACCTTGACCTCATATAGGTGTTTACTTCTTTAACAAAACTCAAATGCTGTAACTGTATCAATGTTAGCCTAGTGGACCAGCCCTGTTAATTTCAATACAATCAATAGTAAAGTGTCCCCCAAAAAGGTTACTGTAAATTTTTGATTTGTTTAACTAGAGTTTTATAATATGGGTTTTTAAAAAAACACCAGATCTAATAAATTATTATTTCTATGCACAATGTAAATGAAATAGGGTCTAACGTCCTACTGTTCTGCTCCTACTGGGCTAATGAAGAAGGGCATACGCCATGCAGTGTGATATGAGGTAAATTTTGCCAGGACAGCAGCACTCCAGCCTACTCTTATATCGATTTCCAACTGTCAAGAGTTCTTTTAAATGCACAGTGCCTACCAATGTGTACACGGTACCTCGGTTTTCATACCATCCGAATTTGCAACATATAATTGATTACAGACTTTGCGTTCAATAATTTGATTGGTTAGTAAACAATGCATATAAATGTTATAACAAAATTAGCTTGAAACATTCCCTTGAACTTTCTATACGTGTAGATGATGCCTTGAGTTCACAAACCATTCTCAGACTTAGGTGAAGAATTTACTTAAAATTGTTCGCCTTATTTTAACTAAAATATAGCTCTTTATAAAACTTTTGTTGTTTTAATGTATCAAATACATCAACAAGAAACTGTGTGCAAATTTTCGCATTTCTGGATCAAAGATTTTTCTCATAAACTGTGATTAGAACTTGAGTTAATTCTTAATGTAAGTCTAAGAATGCTTTGTGAACTCGGTGGGCCATATATAATAAAACCCTGGTTGTGTATTGTATTGTAGGGTATTATAATCTAGTGAGTGAGTAAAAGGTTTTACTACGACCTATTCAAAATGAAAAGTAAATAATCAATTCAGATCTTTCTCACTTAATAATACGTGTACATGGTTATTGATTCTAGTGTATCGTGTTGACCTCATTTATACCCATAACATTAAAAGTCACATTTTATGGAAAGGGTGAGCACCCAATAATATATGTACATGTATAAGGTTATTGACTCTAACTAATGTATCTTACTTACACATGTATTAATCTCACTTATACCCACAACATTTAAAGTCATATTTTATGGGGAGACTGAGCACTCAATAATACATGTATAAGGTTATTGATTCTAGTGTAACTTGTTAACCTCATTTATACCCATAACATTAAAAGTCACATTTTATGGAAAGGGTGAACACTCAATAATACATGTATAAGGTTATTGATTCTAGTGTATCTGGTTGACCTGATTTACACCCATAACATTAAAAGTCACGTTTTATGGGGAGCGTTAGCACCCAATAATACAATGACATGTACATGTACAAGGTTACAGATTCAAGTGTATCTTGTTTACCTCATTTACACTCATAACATTAAAAGTCAAATTTTATGGAAAGACTGAGCACCCAATAATAAATGTATATGGTTATAGATTCTAGTGTATATTGTTGACCTCCTTTTCACCCATAACATATTAAAAGTAGCCACATTTTTGGGGAGACTGACATATGTTCCCCTCCGTTCACTTTATCAATAGGAAGTGACACCATGTAATAACACCATTTAAAGAGAGAGAGAAATTGGGTTCAATGTCAAGAGAGAAGAGAACAATGGGGTTTAATGTCCACTCGACACAAACCAGGTCATTTTGGGACTAACTTATGGTTCAATTTTTACTTCAATAATTCGCTTGATCGTAGGGGTCTTTAGCAGTGGGAGGAGACCGGTAACACCTTTTAAGCAATTCTTACAAATACAACTGAACTTAAATGGACGAACAGTATAAACTGCAATAAAAAGCGGTCAAACCTTCGAGACATTTTAAGATTCCTTGCCACACGTTTACTGGTCATTTCGGGACTAACTTATGGTTCAATTTTTACTTCAATAATTTGCTTACGAGTAATGGTCTTTAGCAGTGTTAGGAGACTGGTAACACCATTTAAGCAATTCTTACAAATACAACTGAACTTAAATGGACGAACAGTATAAACTGCAATAAAAAGCGGTCAAACCTTCGAGACATTTTAAGATTCCTTGCCACACGTTTACTGGTCATTTCGGGACTAACTTATGGTTCAATTTTTACTTCAATAATTTGCTAACGCGTAATGGTCTTTAGCAGTGTTAGGAGACTGGTAACACCATTTAAGCAATTCTTACAAATACAACTGAACTTAAATAGACAAACAGTATAAACTGCAATAAAAAGTGGTCAAACCTTGGAGACATTTTAAGATTCCTTGCCACATGTTTACTGTTTATGACAGGGCATAGGGATTCCAATCAGATTAAAATACAGATCTATATTTCGTTTTGTTTTTTATACTTTCGATGGCCTACACTACATGAAGCTCTGACAAGTTGTACTAGAATGTCCTGTCAGGGGTCGTACAAGGGCTTTTGACCCTATGACGTCAGACATTGATTAATCAATCAGCGTTGATGTTTCTATTGGTTTTCCCACAGTTCAGTGCTTGGAAGGCCAAGAAAGCATCGTAACAGACCGTTTCATTGGCTTATCCCTCACTTCAACCAAAATGCTGGTAATATAACAACTCTTCTAGATCCTAGTGTAGTAAAAACAAATAAAATGAAATTTTGAACTATAAAAAAAAATGAAATGAAATAGGTTCTGTGTTTTAATAAGATTGTAGGGATTCAAATTAAAGTACATGTATATTCAAACACTGAGCAAAATACCACACACAAAAAACCCTGAACATGGTTTGTTTCGGTACTTACATGTATTCCATAATGATACATTTAAAATTTATGAATACCCTTTGTTTAAACAGAAATTAAATACTTTCCTGTGTAGGCCTATGCCAAGTACATCTACATTGCTTATACTTAAATATACATGTACATGTATTCACTCCATAATTATACATTTAAAACTTATGAATACCCTTTGTTTAAAAAGAAACTGAATATTTTCCTGTGAATGCCAATTACATGTAAATTAAAATATCTTTATATACATGTAGTATAATTTGAGTTTTCCGGTGCATTTGCATGTAACTTTATTCAAAATCAATGACTTGTGTGTACCCTGATAACTCACAATCTCAGATCATAGCAATAGAAATTTAATTACAATTATGTTATTTCTAGTTATGAATGGATGATTGAACTGATAATTGCTTAATTGACAAGGTTATCAGTATCATACATGTAGTGAACTAGATTAGAGACATCATATAATTACTGTAGCTTTTGCTTCTTATTCATGTTCCAATACATGTATTGTTATGTTCATTGAATTAGGGATCCTTTGTATGTTTTGTTGGGTTTCTGTACAGTTTTTTTGACAGTGCCTGGATGCATTTAACATCTCATTCTGTAAGTTAAGTTTCGGTACACTTTTTTATGCAGACTAAACGATTTTTTGTGCGCTTTTGTACTAACTGATACATGTACATGGACTGGTTGCCTTTCTATAAAAGTCTTAATATACATGTCTTTTAAAGTGGGGGTCTATTTTCATGTCTGAAAATCAAGGTGGCATAAATTTGCTGATAAACTATGGACACTGAACAGTGAAAACAAAAAAGTTTCACAAATCACAAGACGTGTTTGAGTGTAGTGTTGGATTGAGTTGATTGAAGTACAATGTACATGTACTATCAAATTACATTTTTCATTGTAAGGACTTTAGGGGTGAGTTGATCTGTTTACTAATTTTAGCTTCGTAGTAAACAAATATGTCCACAAAATCCGTTATACACGACATGTATCTCAGTATTATTGGCTTTATCTACATACAGTAAAAAGGTCTTCATAGTCTCTTCATATGTACATGCACATCTATTGTGAATAAAATTAATGAGGAATAGAGTTCCCTTTTTTAATTAATCAAATTATCAATTTCATATTTTACCAGAATCCAACTGGGGTTGCATTATAAAACTGTTCAAATATGGGCACACATAAATATTTAAATTCAAATAATTTTATATGACTATTTTAGTAAGCTTATTCTTTATTCAATTTGAGTTAAAAGTTAAAACTAATGGAATTTAATCAGTTTTTGATCTCCAGTTAGACAGAAGAACATACCAAATCTAGTATATTCATTCAATGAAATCATGAAAGCAATTAATATTGGAAAAGAATAAACAGATATGTTGACCTGAAAAATTCTCAATTTCGAGAAATTTGAAAATGCACCAAAAAGAATCCAAAAAATCAATCATGTATATATATGTAATCTCAAGAGAGAGTCCACTGGACACAAACTAGGTCATTTCAGGACTAATATACGGTTCAATTTACTTCAATAATTCGCTTGAAAACCCACGAGGTTGGACAGGCTGGGGAATCGAAACCAAGCCAGTTGACTCCTTGACAGACCTGATGATACAATGAACATGAACACGCTAACAATTCAGCCATCCAACCCCCCCCCCAATTCCAGAACTAGGATTGGCATAAATATAGATCCATTGATAACCACCTACTGGGTTACATATCAATCAAGGAGACGCTACAAGTTGTGGCCTACAACACAAATGTGTAATTCTCATAATACAGTAGGCTACTAGCACTTGCGTCAATCATATGTCAGCCTATATTGTATCATAAATTAATCTAATAATATCACCCCATGTGGTCTAACCAATTTCAAATTATTTATCATATTTTCTCAGTTTTTGCACCAAGTTTACACAGAGAGTCTAAAAACAAGATCTATATGTATGCAGTAGGCTAATAGTTTGACCTCTAGCTCTCTTATAGTTTATATTGGTTATGTTACATGTACGTACTACTAGAGAACTACATGTATACTAGAGTAAGCATATACATATGTATATATATAGCCAGTACTGACTAGACAAGTAGAATATGGATGTTGTGCCTCCTAAATAAAGATCACCATTCACCATAGTTCCTTTAAGAACAGTCTCTAATCGGATCTTGTCCGTTAACCGTTCCTATCCATCCCTATATTGCTGCAATAGAAAAATACTGCTCTTCCCCAAGTATATTTTGGAATCCTTAACTTGGCGAACAAAGAAACATCACAGAGAAAAATAGAAGGTAAGGATTCCAAAATAGTCTTTGAACAGAGTGGCATTTTCATATTGCAGTGCAGCTATAAAGGAACAGTCAGAGAACAGGATCCTAAGGGAACTACATTCACAAGTACCATACTGTAGTGCAGGCAGGCTAAATACGTTTGATTATCATGTAGCATACATGTATCTACTAATCGATAAGCTTACTCTACAAACGTCTGATTGTTCATGAAATGAAATGGGGTATAACATCCTACTGTTCTGCTCCAACTGGGCTAATGAAGAGGAGCATACGCCACAGTGTGCCATGAGAGATATTTTGTCCAGGCAGCGGTACTACAGCCTACTCTCATATCAAATTCCAATTTCCATGAGATCTTTAACGTGCATGCTAACGCCAAAGACTAGACAGCTGTCCTTGTCAGCCCTCCGCCCAGCACCACTGACAAGGGGAAACCATGTCGCAAAATTCTGATGAACATTTTTTTGGTTAACACCGGGATCAAACCCGCGATCCCCCAGCCAGCGAGTCAGCATCTTACTCACTTAGCCTTTCATTTTCATATTAGTGGAGATGTCTTAAACAGATTTCAATAGTACATGTACCGATGAGTTGAACCGTCTTAATCACATACATCTGCTCTTGATAGTTATAGATTATAAGTGCTGAAACTTTGACAGATTACTAGCAAGATATCATTTAGAGAGTAATCAAAGCAAATTACCAAAACATCAACATCAAAAGATCAACTTAGCGGAAAATAAATAAATCCTGGTAGACAGATGTAAGTTGTTTTCGAAACAACATCATATGATATAGCCTAAAAATTTTACAATGATGTACCTCTAAACCTCATTTTTAGTACAGTCCTTTGACAGTATCATAAAGCATTCAGCATTAAGGTACTGTAGACTAGTAAGGGTTTCATTTATTTTATTAATTACCAATTTGAGGTTGGCTTATTTTATTTTTTTGAGCAATAAACAACAATAAAAAAATCTCCTTGCCTACATTTTGATTTGAAAATGGGTGACTTATGGTATTCATGTAATTTAAAATACAAAGTTCATGCCAAGAACTTTTTAAAATTATTATCACTGATCTGCCATCCACCGTTTACTCCAGTTCCGATGCCAATTCACTTAAGTCGCGTGAAAGACCTGACTGGCGACTTTACTTGAAACATCTATCAAGACTTTGCAAATTTGTTGAGTCGGCCCTACTAGACCTAGCTCCGTGAACAATGTCAAATGTATTTTGGACCAATGTCAAATGTGTGCTGGACCAATTGCAAATGTGCGCTGGGCCAATGTCAACACTCAAATGCGCGCTGGACAAATGTCACTCACAGTCAACGATTATGAATCTGATATTAGCATTATTGGCACTGTCACGACTACAGTATCGGTATAAACTTTGACATGTGACATTCACAGAAAATCTGATGGGTTATGATTTTAGTTTTTCTTTGATTACATTACCTCCTTTACAGGGAGTTCTATGTTGACTGTGTTGAGCTCTGTAAGCTTCAATCATTTCATATTCACCATTATCTCGTTGAATTGGAAAATTTATGGCAAGAATGTGATTATTTGGTTTAATAATTCTTAAAATTCCTTGCACTTTCTTCTTTTTTTCTTCCAATGTGCCTTTTCCCTTTATCTCTTGGAGTAATCGGTCTTCGATATGGGCTGCTGCTTTGTCGAAAAACAGTTCCACCATTTGGAAAAATCCCTTGCCTTCTTTTCCTTCCGAACCCGATGAAAGTTGTCTGGTTGACGGTTCAGTACATACCACAGCCGCAGCAGCGTTATTCAAAAGCGCCTGGTTTCCCACCTTTTGGGCCAGGTCCCTTGTAGCTGCACGAAGCATATTTGCTAGGTGTTAAATTTCAGCTACTCTCAATGTTAGACAATTCCAATGGTACTGACTGAAAGTCAAAAATCTGACATACAGGTAACCCTAACACCAGTAGCAATTCCAATGACGAGAAGCCTATGACGAATAAAACGGATGTGGCCGATTCCAGCTCTCTGATTAGTTCATTTTTGTCCTTGACCTAACCTTCTGGAAAGAGGTGTGTCAAGCACGTGGTTGGGATTATCCAATCATAACGATTGTAAATAGTTGTGGCACAAAGCCATAACATCGGCCGACAAAAACACATGTTTTTACGAACAAGTGCAGATATTTTCACAAAAGAGTAACCGCTATTTCAGACAATATCCCCATATTACATTAACCAAGTTATAATTGAATACCAAGTAATATCTAACCTAATTTTAAATTGTTGATATATTATATATTATTGTTATCGGAAATATTCTCAATCTGTAAAAATCTGAATGATAATATTGATAATGCCATAATGGCATCATTTATATGATCCAGTAATTGGACACATTAAAATAAACACATTTCTATCGAAATAATAACTGTATTTTAATTGGAGCCACTTGCTTGAAAAAGACCAATCGAGGGTAGTTGTAGTTCGAAACGGTAGAGCTCCGATTAAAATCCAGTTGTTTTCCATAAAACTGTGTTAGATATACTGTTTAGAGGTCACAGCTCACCTGGTAACAAAATACGCGTACGATAACCGTGTCATTACAACGGGAATATCAACAAGGAGATGAAATAATATAAACCTTTGGTTTGTTTTGAACTCTCACACCGTTGACAGTGTTTAAAATGCACGTACGCTCGGCTAAAATGAATCTTATTTGAACAAAGTATTATTGTTTAAATCCACCAGGAAATTTAATCATATATACTTATAAGATAAGATTTTTATTGTATCTTAACACCCATTCCAGACCGCATACAATTCATATAATTAAAATGACAAATAAGAATACGAAACATGAACTACAGGTTCGTGTTAAAAGTGAGAATAAATATATCAGAGACATTATTTCAAAATGTATAGATGTTAAAAAAATAAAAATAAAACGTGAATTTTGCCTTGTATAATACCTTGTTAGGGCGAGGCTTGATTTCTATGTTGAAATACTTTATATACATAATGGCATGCACTCATAAGATAAGATAAGATGTTTATTGCATCAAAACGTCCATTATGGACAGCATGCACGTATACAATGAAACGTCCTGATGGGACCCACGATCCTTTGTGGAATATTAAATTAAAATATGTCGCGAATACAACTATTCTTAAGCTTTCTTTTACCGGGAAAGATTTTTTATCCCAAAACTACTAATTTTAAATAATGAAATGAAATGGGGTTTAACGTCCTGTGTACTTCTCTGCACCGAATCAGCGGATCACGTGGCTAAGTGGGTAAGACGCTGGCTCGCTAGCCTGGAGGTCGGGTGTTCGATCCCTGCATTGGCCGAGAAAGTTCATCCAGATTTTCCGACGTGGTCCCCCCCTTGTCAGTGATGCAGAACGGAGGGACTGACAAGGACAGTTATCTAGTCCTTCGGATGAGACGAAAAACCGAGGTCCCGTGTATACATTGGAATGCACGTTAAAGATCCCTTGGCAGTTGGAATTCGATATAAGAGTAGGCGATAGTGCCGCTGCCCGGGCAAAATTTCCCTCATAGCACACTGTATGGCGTATGCCCGTCTTCATTAGCCCAGCATAGGAGCAGAACAGTAGGACGTTAAACCCCATTTCATTTCATTTCACTGCACCGAATCACCTAATGAAGACGGAAAAATTGGCATAAATTTTTGGCACAAATTTTTTCAGGGGAGGGGCTATGCTTGTTCTTTTAAATTATGTATAGAGTACGTACTGTTTCTTGAAAAGATTATGACATCGTGTTTCTCTGCCGAAAACAACCGATTGTTCTAGATCTGCTTACCGGTACTATCAGTTCAGAGAATCGAAATTTTAATATTCGGCTGATCGACCTTCAAGTTTTTTTTTTGTTTTTTTTTTCTTGTACGTGTTTGTCGACGTTATTTATTTTGAAATGACAGCAGGATAGAATAGATATTGCGATATAAGAGGTTACTGGGAGCATAATCTATTATAATGACACTTGTCAGCAATTTTATGTGCAGATTGTTTGATTTTTATGCGATATATCTTTATGTCAACATGATCCCTTGATAACCGAATTAAATAGTAAAGTCAATTTAAAAATAAAACAAAAAAAAACACTTTATTCTACGATGCTGTGTCCAGAGAAGGACTACATATTCAGTTTTGGAAGACCATTAGGCCTATATATAATACAGACTATAAACAATATTCCAATATGTCTGAATGGTAATTTACAATAAATGCAAGTCAGAAAAATATGGAGTTTTGTTATCGATCTTTATGTATAAGTCTACATAAAGTGCTAGAAATTCGCCATTACCGCTTTGGCGACCTTTACTGCTCGATAAAAAAAAATCAATTTGAATGTAATATATGCGGTTAGATCGGGAGTGTTCAAATTAGATTTTATGTAAAATGTGAAAATATTAGCCGAGATATAGATTTCTTGGGATTCATTATGAATCACACACATAATAATTAATAGCCTATGTTATGTATTTATCTATATATATAGGATATCTATGAATAACCTGATTATTAAATTATGCTTCATCACTTCAACGGACCGAGTTTCAAAATAGATCAAAATGACATCATACATGTTATTCTTTTAAATTCTCGTACTCGTCAGGCAAATGGGTTGAACTAGACCACACCCGACCCGTTTTCTGACTTTTTACGGCTATGTGAACAGTTTCCGGACATTTGAAATTTTTGCGATCATCGAGTATTACCTTCTTAGCCAAATATATCTGACAGTCCGGCCAAGGATTTAAAAGTAAATTAGTCAATTATATTATTGTCATACTTGATAACACTATTATTATTTGTTATAATCCGGTTATCTTATCATTACATGTATTATAACATCTAATCCAGAATGTTCTTACATATAGGCCAGAAATTTATATAAATCTAGGCCCGTAGTTAGCCGGAGGGGCGGGAAGGGGGGAGGGAGGCAATATCGCAAATTCAGCCTCATTTTCATAGTTCATATAGTGCAAACTCTATTTTCCCAAATTTTCTGGGGGAGAGCACCCTAAACCCATCTCCGAAGGGAGACGCGTCCACGGTGTAGGTACATCGGCGCCCCAGATGCCCCATCAGCGCCCCCAGAAGCCCTTGCCCCCCCCCTCCCGCCATGGGCTACGGGCCTGATATTCATATATGTGACAGTCAATGTCTACAATCAGGCAATGTGTACAATGCCTGAAATATACCAGTCAATGTGTACATTGCCGGGTTAGGGTTAGGGTTAGGTTTAGGGTTAGGGTTGGGGTGGGGGTAGCGTTAGGGTTACAAAGGCATTGTAAACATTGCCTGATTGTAGACATTGACTGTAACATATATATTCTACATATAGCATGATAAACCGTAGTAGAATTTTATATCTCTATAGTTTGCTGGCAATATGTTGACAGATTGAAATTCATTATCTGAGAAATAAGCGAACGTAGTGATCTTCACGGACTATGATTATGATTATTACGAGAATAAATTATTCACTAATACACCTGTTGGGTTGGGTGGCTGAATGGTTTAACGCGTGCTCTTTAGATCATAAGGTCTGTCATTGAGTCGAGTGTCGTGGTTTCGTTTCCCCGCTTGTAAGTCTTTATTCATATTCCATGTCTATATTTATATTCCATTTCTTTATTCCATGTCTTTATTTTTATTTCATGTCTATATGACATGTCTACTGTTTATATCCATGTCCATATATATATTCCATGTCTATTCCATTTGTACATTTATATTTATATTTCATATATTTATATTATATTCCATGTATATTATATGGATGTTCTTGTTATTAATGTATGTATAGTATGTGTTTATATTGGATGCTGTCTTTAATGAGCGTTTTGGTACAGTAAATCTGGTCTGTGGGGTCGATTTGGATGTTGAAAAGAAACGACATGTACTCGTTCAACTATATATATAAAGGATATAATGACCGAGAAGTTATGATGACGATATTCATCCTATTGATGATGAAATCAAGTGTACCATATAACATGACTGAGAACTAGGTCACACCATACAGTGTAGATCGTTCATTGATGATGAAATGCTATATGTTGAGGGTTGCATCATTATTGTTGATAGTAAAACGAATGTAATTGCTCTACATTTATTTTGGTGTGGTGATTGTACTAAGGTATATTGGTCGACATTATAAACGAGAGAGAGAGATAGGGTTTAACGTCCCCTCGATATAATTAACTAGGTCATTTCGGGACTAACAAATGGTTTTAATTTTATTTCAATAATTCGCTTACGCGTAGGGGTCTTAATTAGCAGTGGGAGGACCCAAAGAAAACCCACGAGGTTGGACAGGTGACCTTGTCACGTACAACCCGGGATTCGAAACCACGCCAGTTGACTCAATGACAGCGCGTACGTGCTAACCATTCGCCCCCCCCCACCCCTACCCCTTATAAAAGACAAGTGTCGACAAAACACGGAGATAGATTTCTTGATATTATCTCGTCAAAGCGATACCAAGAAATCTATCTGTCTCCGTGTAATGTGGTTTACTATAAGGAAGCGGATACACGTATATCAAACGCACCCACCTACTTATGTACATACGATAAATTTCAAATGATTTTCTTTTTTGCGTTTTTTAAAGATATTTTCTTCTATGAATTCAACCCAAAGAAGAATATGGATATTAAAAGTTTCGTGACAATGAGTAAGGGTCGCCTGTCCAACCTCGTGGTTTTCTCCGGGTCCTCCGGTTTCCCCCACTGCTAAAGACCCCTACGCGCAATCGAATTATTGAAATAAAATTGAACCACGTGTTAGTCCCGAAATGACCTAGTATGTGTCGAGTGGACGTTACCCCCCCCCTCTCTCTCTCTCTCTCTCTCTAAACGTGTATGCAGCAATGTCAACTAAATTTACTTTATTGACGAGTGTTGATATTTTTTGATATCAAAAAAGACGAGTAGGAGATTTTATTTATCACCAAATCCTTTCTTACATGCACAAAA